GCCCAAGACTGTGCCCTAAATTTTATCTGCTTTATACCCAATCTTTAATCACATTGAACTAGAAGTGAAACAGGGGCAGACAGGGCAAAAGGGCAACAAGGCCGGATGGAAGGACTGAACGACCACCCGCCTGCCCAGGCTCTGAGACCAGAGAGCCGCCAAAAAGCCCCAAAAGGCCAAAAATGAAAACCGAGGGCTACAACCTAACAAAGGGCAGTGCCTGCTAAGAGGACAGGTCACTGTCTGTGGGTTCTCACCCACGCACACAATTGCAAGAGACCTCAGGCTCCAGATGGGTTGTTTTACAAATGGGAAACAAGGAGTTTACACCAACCACGAGGTTTATTTTACTTACTGGGGAACAAAGAGTTTACTGTATCCACACGTGGCGCCTGTCTCACCCAGATAGCATCAGTGATGGTCGCCACCAGTCACCAGGAGTGCTGGACAGCACTGGCCAGTGGTGATGGTCACTACTGGTCCCTCAGGCGGTGTCAGAGACACCCTTTGTTAACAGCTCCTTGTGTGTTGTTGGGCGATACCAACAACAAACACTCTGAGACACCAGGCCCAGGGCCTTCGGTGTTCCTATCAGGCAATGTCAGAGACAGGACCTCTGTTCTCTCTGAAGACAGAGATCTTCAGCTTCTTTTCCCTCCTTGGAGGTTGGCTGCTGGATGCTTCTTTTCCTCTTTCTTTGGAGGCCAGGAACAGAGTCTTTGCTGTCTTTCTTCTTCCTTAGGAGGCTGGTGGCACCTCTCTTCTTTGGGGGCTGGCAACATGTCTCTCAGCTCCCTCTGATTCTGGCTTATATCCTCTTTCAGGGTGCCCCACCCACAAATCTGATTGGACCATTTTTCAATCCTGTGGCTGATGGTTCCTTTAGCACCAATCAGCTCATAGCTCGTACCTGATTGGTCCACTCCACAATCCAGGAAGTACAATGTTACATTAAAGGTCTCTGAGGAGCAACTGCCTCAACTGACCTGTGGTAGAGCAGCAGGGTGAAAGAACACCACTGCTCCTGCTGGCTCCCACTGCCGAGGCGGCTGGGTTCTGGTAACAAAACTATTTTTCTACCCTCGCTTACACACCTAGCTTTTGTGGATATTGTTGATCTTGTAGGGTAAGTTTCAAGGTGCTGAAAGGGAAGGTAATGGCCCTAAATAAAAGTCCTTAAACTGCTAACCCCTGCTGACTTAAGGCCACTCACAGCAGATACTGTGATATATAAAGTGATCATGAATCCTGGCTAAAGTGATGCACACGAAGGTCAGGCCCCCACACCTGGCTGCCAACTGTCCCTGGTCATGGCGGCATGGTTGGAGTGGCTGCTTGGGTAGCCTCTATTGTAAAAATCCTCTAGCGATCCCCCATCTGGGTGTCTGAGGCAGAGTCCAGGTGGGGAGAAGCCACAGGATGTCCCCTCGGATACTGCCAGATGCTTGGTTGCTGGGCACCCTGACTGGCAGGCAAAGAGGTTACCATGACAACCCCCACCAGCTGCAATTTTTTTTTTTTTTGCATAGCTTTCAGGACAGAATGTCCTCTGCTCCAGGGGCGCAGGGGAGTGGGGAGTAGAGATGTATATGTGTCATGATTGAACAAACCTTCAGCAGTGTGTAGATGCATATAAATGTATGCACATACACACCCTGCTTCTGGGTCAAAACATGTGCCTTTGGTTATACACCAATGCATGTATGAGCATGTATAATTCGAAGGGTTGGATCACCATTTATCTGCCCATTTGCTTTCCTGCTCTCCTCCCCCTCCCCCCTCCCTGTGCTGGAAGGGAGGGGAAGTGCTGAGTCATGGCTCCAGTTGGGTTTCTGTCTTTCATCACCATTCTTTCCTCAGTCCACTCCTCACCCCCGCTGGGCTCTCTCTACAGCATTGGGGCCCTATTCACTACCTCCCTCCTCAGCCCGGACTCATTTCCTTGAGGTTCACTGGGAAGTAAAGAGAAGGCCCTTCCCTCTGCTTCTGCATTTACTGCCTCCTCACCTTGCCTTCTCAAAAGCCTATTCTGACCCCTTCTTAGGATGGCTCCCTGGCTCCCTCGTGGAAAAAACAAGATTCTGGCCAAGTTTGACCCAGGAGGCTAATTCTTCCATGTATGCATGCTGATCCTCCACCCCTTAATCCGATTATGTCAGCATCTCCTATCTTGGGGCATGGTAAGGAAAGTGAGAATTAATTTAACACCGTTCACTGAGGCTTTTTCCCATTCTAGGTCTCCAAGTGCCAGGTCACAGGTTCCTGGAGATGTGTGTGTGTGTGTGTGTGTGTGTGTGTAGTAAAGGGAGTGTACTGTGTCCATGGGTCCAGGAGTAGTATCTAGTGGCTCCCCTCACCCAGAGCATCCCCCCACCCAGGATGTCTGGCAGTCTCTGTAGGCTTTCTGGTCACTTCCCACCCCCCTTTGGCTCTTTTAAGGCAGAAATTCCAATCAGTGTTCTCCGATAACTAGTACCAAACAAGGCAGACCAGGATTGTTTCCCCAGCTTGAAGTGGGAGAGCGGAGAGGCAGCCCCGCCCGCTCAGTCTGGTTACTATGGCGACAGCCGCAGCTGACCCTTGTCCTCCCCCCGTCTCCTCCCAAACCGAAAGAGATGACGCCACCGCGCTGACTGCGCCAAATTCCAGCCAATGGGCGGCTGCTCCCGCCTTCCCTTCCGCCAATTTTCTCCCCCCTCCCCCTGGGAACTCGATTCACAAATCTGGACTGGAGATTTCCGGCTCCAAGACCGCTGCAAGGGCGAGGGGCTGAGGCTGGGCAAGAGTCGGGGTTTGCACTGCTGGGAGGGCAAGTGGACGCCGGAATTCCTGGGTTCTCGGGCCAAACTCCTGTAACCTCCCACCTGGAAAGCTCACACCCTCACCCTACTCCCAAATTATCCCGGAAAACCTAATTGAGGCCGAGCCCGAAACACTTCCTGCCCTTACAGGCCCCCACCCTGCCTGAGCTCACCCGTCAGCACCACGGACAGCAAACCCGGGCTTTGTCTTTCCGGCCGGGAAGGGTTCCCTGGATCATGGAGATCTTGGTGGCGACCAGGGTCAGAGACACCAGGACTCTGCTGGAGCCAGGCCTCTTGGCCACGTGGCTCAGACGGCAATGAGGAGTGAATAGGGACCTAAGGCTAAATTGTTTCTCTTCTCTCAGGCCCAAAGAATGGCTCCCATGTCCTTAGCTGCCTATTTCCTAAAGTTCCTGGACATCGAGGGGCAGGCGTGAATCTCAAGCAAGTTAGATCTCCCAGGGCTTCCCTGAGTGGGCATGTAGCTGAAGTAGCCTTGAAACAGCCCAGTGGATGGGCGAGGGACCTGTGGGGCTGTATGTGGCAGTCAGGTCCCACCTGAGCGTGCTAAACACAGACTTAAGCCTGACTGGACTCTTAGCCAGATATATGAAACCAGATATAGAGATGGAGGAGGAAGAGAAACAGCAACAACAATAAGCAGCTAGTTCTGCCTCATTGGACCACTCTGTAGAAGGGGAGCACCTTCTGCTGTCCTCACCACTTAATCATTAAATGGTCTGGGTATTAATGGGGAGCCAGGTCAGACAAGATGGCGGGGAAGGGGGCCACTGGGGTAGACTTTAGCTTTATTACCAAGCCTAATTTTGGGCTACTGCTCTTCTTTCTAGAGAAGGAAACTAGAAACCAACGTGTGTGTGGGGGGGACTAACAGTTCTCAGGGGCCCCACTGTCCCCATTAGGCCCATGGGGGCCATCTCTACCCAACTCCACTCACCCCTGCCCCCTCCCTTCCTCCCCTGCCTCCCTCCCCCCTCCAGGGCCCAAAGAAAGGCGGGCGCAAAACCATCTGCAGGCGCTTCCAGCGCTTTATAGTTCTCTCCGGAACAGACGGACAGACAGACAGTGCGGCCCGCGCGTCCGGCCCGCATCATTGGCACCTTGGACACGGCACCAGGCCCACCCCAGTCCCTGGTACCCTCGCGGGAAGATTCAGGCCGACCTCAGATCAGCACCTCAGACAGCTCCCGGCCCAACCCGCCCCGCCCTCCCTTCGGAAACAACCAAATAAATTCAAGGGTGGTGATGGGGGGTGGGGGAACAAAAAACCCATAAGGGCAAGGAAGAGGGGTGCTCCTTCACCCGCCCCCCCGTAAGAAGAGTTTTCTCTTCCCACCCTTCTGCCGAGAAGCCGCCGCTGCCGCCGGGGTGGCCTCTTAGGTTGCTTCTGCTCCCAAACTTCAACCTCCTGAAGCCGGCACCCCCCTCCCCCCAGCTCCCAGCATGCAACACGTTGGAAAAGGTAGGGAGAGGCCGTGGGGGTGGGGCGGAGGGCCATCCCGATGGTTGCCCGGGCTCTGGGCGGCAGGTTCTCGCCGCACCTCAGTGCATCCAAATTCAGGACTTATGTTCCCTTTGGTCTGGGAAGAGGGCCTTGGGGGTCGGTCGGGGGGAGACCTGCAAGCTGGCCGAGGCAGAGGAGGGACAGGCAGCCAGCAGGGAAGATGGTGACACAAGACAGGCGCGAGGGCAAGAGAACGAGAAGGGAAAAGAGAGGCACAGGTGCAGGGAGAGAAACGGGGGCGCGAAGGGGCAGCCGGGCGGCGGGCAAGATGGAGATGGAGACCCTCGCCCAAGGAGAGGGGGCAGAGAAGGCGGCGGGAGGTGGGGCGCAGACGAGAGGGAGGTGAAGACACGGGAGGAAGGACAAGACCGCGGGGAGGGAGATTTCCAGGTGCGCCGAGGGGCAGGGAGAAGCCAGGGCAGAACTGAAGACACCGGGGCGCAGACGGACGGCAAGGATGAGGTTGGGGCGTCCTCCTGCCGCGCGCACCCGCCGCCCAGCACCTCCGAGCGCCGCGGCCGCGGGCGTCCTGGCCTCCACCTTCCCCTGCCGGGCGGGGGCGGCTCCCCCCAAGGCCAGGGCGCCGGGCGGCGGGGACGGCGAGACGGTCCCGGGGGCTCCCAGAGTGTGTCGGGGGCTGGGGCTGGGGCGGGCGCGGCCCTCGGCGCTCCCTAGCGGTCCAGGTTCATAGTCCAGTGCTTGGCTCCGGCCGCGCAGCTGTCCCTGGCGGACGACGCGGAGCCGGGAGCCCCCGGCGCGCCCCCGCCGGCTGGACCCCCGGCGCCGGCGGCGACCTCGCCCTCGTTCTTCAGGTCCTGAAAGACCTGCGTGAAGAAGTGGGGGTCGGCGTTGAGCCGCAGCATCTGCGGGCTGAGGCGCTGGATGAGGCGCAGGCAGCGCTGCCAGAAGCGCTCCTTGTCGGGCTCCACCAGGAAGGGCTTGAGCGGGTAGGAGATCTCGTTGCCCATGTAGGAGTAGGCGAGGTAGAGGCAGGTGAGGAAGGCGGCCTGCAGCTCGGCGGCCGACGCCAGCTCATCCCCGCGCAGCGACTCGCGGCACAGCAGGTACACGAACACCAGGTTGGCGGGCGTGATGAAGGCCTGGTCTTGCCAGCCCTGCAGCAGCAGCGAGCGGTCCACGCCGCGGAACCAGCCCACCAGCTCGCCGGGGCTCAGCTCCTTGAGGCGGTAGCAGCGGCGGCACACGAAGTCGCCCAGGCAGCGCAGCAGCTCGCCGGTGGACGCCTGCACGATGACCCGCCGCGGGGAGCCCCCGGGCGCGGGCGGCGCGGCCTGCGGGGCGGGGGCGGCGGCGGCGCTTTCCGGGCGCCCGAGCCCGGCGGCGGGGCGGCCGCGCTGCCCCCCGACGGCGGCTCGCAGGCGGCGGCGGCCGCGGGCACGGTGGGCACCGGCACGGCGAGGGGCTTGGGCGCGCCGCCGCCGTCGGGGGGGTCCCGGCCCTTGCGGAGAAGGTTCTCGCGGTTGCGCTGCTGGACCAGGGGGTCGGGGCCCGCGGACGCCGGCTTGGGCGTCACCTTCTTGCTGCCTTTCTTCTTCTTGGCGGACGCGGCCACCAGGCGCTTCCAGGTGAGCGCGGAGATGAGCACGGACGGCCGCTTGAGCCGGCTCTCGCCCTTGCCGGCCTTGCCTGCGGGCGGCGCGCCGTAGCCCCCCAGCGCCTCGTCCCCCGCGGGCGGCGCCTTCTTCTTCTCCTCCGGCAGCCCGCCGGGCCTCCGGCCCTTGGCCGCGGCGCCGGGGGACAGCGACAGCACCGTGCCCATCCTGCGGAGCGGGGCGGGCGCCGGGCCCCGGCGGGAGCCGCGGGCGGCGCCGCTGCCGCCGCGCTGCTGCTGCAGCCCCGGGGGACCCGGCGGTGGGGGGCCTCGCCCCGGCCCGGGCGCGGGGACCGGCGGGGGAAGGTGGCTGCGCGGCGGCTCCGCGGCGGCCGAGCCGAGTCTGAGCTGCGCCAGCTGCAGCGCCGGCCCCACCCCTCGGCCCCCGCGCGCCGCGCCGCGCCCCGGCCCCGCAGCCAATGCGCGCGCGAGCCGCGCCCCGGAGCGGCAGCCCCCCCGGCCAATGGGCTCTCGCACGCCCACCTGAGGTCCCGCCCCGTCTCCCACCCGCCGCCGCGGATCCCTCTCCCTGGCTGGAAGGAGGAGGGGCAGGGGGGTGGCCTCCGCTCCAGGGGCTCCCGCGGGGTCGGCGCTGGAGCGGGGGTGGGCTGGCTCCCCTCCATCTCTCCCGCCTTGTCTGGAGGCCTGGCTCAGCGCGCTTTGATGTGCTGGAGAGCAGGAGCAGAAGAACCACGGGAACGGCTCCCCGCATCTTTTGGTTATGTTCAGGGGGGCAACAGCTCGGGCGGGGAGTGTCCCTCTGCGGTTCCCCGTGCACCCTGTGCTGGCTCCTTCGGCCTGGCTGGAGGGTCGGTTATCTCTTCGCTCCCTCCCCCCCCCCAAAATCCTGGAGTGCAGGCAGGACCCCTGCCTTCCTGCAGGTCAAAACCCACCTTGCTTTGGGGGTGGGGTGGAGACCCTCGCTTATGCCCCTGAAGCGGCTTGTTGGCTATCTGGTTCTCCGCGGCCGAGTCTGAGGAACGAGACCCTGGGCTCTGGTCCTTGGGCAGCTCCTCTCGAGCTCTTGGTACCCACCAACCACCCTGATGCCTGATCTTAGGTGAACTGGTAGATGGTTGGTCCCTGGGAAGTTGGATCCGTTGGTGTCCCTGGGCTGGGACAACAGATGGGGCCTACAGTACTCTAAGGTAGGCCCAAAAGGATTGGCCCCACCTCTGGCCCAACCCTGGGTCCAGGTTGAAGTGAGTTTTTACCCGTTAAATTCTTCCCGCCATCCAGGTCTCAGCTGCCCCCACTTCCAGCTGAAAGCTATTAGGCTGGATCCTGTTTGTCTGTGGGTTTGTCTGTTCCCTCCTCAGCACCCATAAGTCCTTTGTCCTGGATTTGAACCGCCCAGCCTTATTGGCAGGTCCTGAGCCCAGCTAGTGCCGAGCTGTTCTTTCTATCTTGCAGGACTGTGTCCAACCTTTCATGGGCCTTTTCTCCATGGCTCCCCAACACAGGAGTCTTCCAGCTTCTTAAGTGAGTTCTGGAGGTGGATTCAGGTTTCCTGGGGAGAGCAGCCCCTGCCTGTGGCTTTAGCAAAATCCTTAGAATGGTCCCTGGCATCACTCCACATTCCTCAGAGATCACCACAACAGCTCCAAGGATCCACTGCATCGGGCTTGGTGTGTATATACACGTGTGTGTCCCCAAATCTCCTGGGGCTGCAGCTTTTGCCACCAGAGACTGCAGCTTTTCGCAGCTATCCTTCAGCCCCCGCTCACCCACACCTCCTGGGAAGCCTCGCAGTTGGCTGCCTGGGCTCCCACCTCGGTACCAGGCGCCCCTCCCCCAACCATGTGCACTTTCTCCCCGGGGTCTCTCTTGCTCCTTAGATGGAAGCTTTGTCTTCTCAAAGCAGGAGCCGACCTGCCCAGCCTCTCATTCTCCCCATAGTTGCAGAAAAATGTTCCCTCTTTTCAACTCCTGTAATTGGTACCACTTCCTCCTACAAGACCTTCTGAGTCAGCCTTTATCTGACACCCAAAGAACAGTCGGCTCACCGGTAGTTAAGGACAAGCCCCACAGAGACGGAGCTGCACTGGCAGAAACACGGGCACGTGGAACTGAATGGCACGTGGGTCCTCCCAGCTCTGCTCCCAGGAGTCCCGCACTGACGTAGGACCTATTGCTGGTGTCATTTAGAACAAGATCTTCCATGTGGCCCCCACAGATGTTACTGCCACATACCTCCACTGTGGCCCCTGCTGTCACCTTTTGTCCTTTTGATCAGAATCAAGAATTTCCTCCTTTGCTTCAGGGTCCCCAAACCAGGTGCCTCAGAGGGTCTCAGCCCTCTTATTCACCTTACCCACCTCAGAGCCTCTGTCTGTCTTTGTCTTGGGTATCCCACCCTAGTTATCCTCCTTGAATCTCTGAACTCTTCCCACTGGGCCCCACTCAGACTACACTCTGCCTTCTCTCTCGCTGTTGAAATTCCACCTCCTCCAAGAAGTCTTTTTGGACTGAATGGAAGGGACCTTGCCCTGTTTCTGACATCAGTCTGTCTAATCTCTCCCTCCCAGCAGCAACTACTACAAAACAATTTGGTTAAGGTCAGAGCATCAAGTCCCCAGTTCAAGATGTGCAAGATGGCTATGGATGGAATTTTAGAAGGACGGACAATTAAAACAGATCCACCAATATTCAGCATTTCTGTTATTAAAAAGCTAGGGACATGAAAGGAAAGGGAAGGGATGCTCTGTTGCTACAGAGTGGAGGCCAAGGGGGATAAATATAGTGACACCAGAAAGATTTCAAGAGAAGGTGGGCTTCACAAGAGGGCAGTGACTTCCCCGCCACGTCTGTAAGTGCATTTTTCTGATTGGCTTATGTTTAGATCTGACTTGTTTACCTCTATTAGTGTCTGTGTATTGCCTCTCACCTGTCCATTCCCATGGACCTACGAGTTCCTCTGGGACAGCGCTGGCTCTGTTAGACTCTCCTTGGGCTAGACTCCTTGTCTGTTTCTATCACTTTGTAGGCTACTTAGAACAGTGCGCTGTCCAGATAAGTGGTTATTCTGAAAGGCTCTTTAAGGCAAGAACTGTAGAAGCTGGTTTAAGAACTTGCTCTAAAACTAGACCAAGAAGATTGTAGCCTGTGTAGGAACACAGCTTTATTTGTGAGGATCACCCCCAGTTTCACCTTGGCGATGGGCCTTCACTGACCCTCTTGAGAAGGTGAGTCCCATCTTTAAGGGAACAACTCCAGGCAATGCTGCTCAGACACTGCTGCCCTTTGGCTGTTTTTATCTCCTCTGAGTAGTCATAGTCTGGAAGGCATGAGTTTTAGCGTAAGACTTAAAAACTGACTCAGGGGACCTCCCTGGTTAAGCAAGAGGTTAAGCGTAGGCATTGTGAAGCAGCCTGCAGTTACTGCAGCACGAGTTCCGTTCCCGACTGACCAGGGAGCTACCCACATGGCGCAGCAGACCTCTCCTGTCTCGCCCACTGCTCCCCTCAGCAGTGTATCTCAGTCAGTTCTCAGTCCACCTGTTCTGCTCCCCATTCTGCTCTGGTGAATCCTCTCTCCCCTTGCACCTCTGGCCTACATCTCAGTTCTTGTATGCATAAATAAAGAAAGAAAAAAAAACTGACTCAGGAAATCATTTCAGCTCTCTTTGTTTTAAAAGGTAGAGCTTCTATATATTTTAAAATTTATTATCAGACAAAAGAATAAGATAACATCTTGGGGCTTAGACTTAAAAATGATTCCCAAAGTCTCATTTCTATGATTCTAAATAAAAATAAAACATGTCCTGTGAATCCCTTTCATTCTCTAGCTCCAACCTGTCTGGTTCTACCTCATCTGTTTCTGCCTGATGGGCTCAGTCTGTGTGCACAGCATCTGTGTGAGGCCTATACACGCACAGTGCAGCCCAGGAGACTAAGGAGAGTTGTGCTCAGACTCTCAGCAACATAAATCTCCCCAGGTCCTACCAAACCCATGAAAGGTAGTGAGGCAAAGGACAGGAGGCCAAGAGAACTAAGGTCCAGGGTCTGCCCAAAAAACACCAAGGTCAGAGACCCCAAAACCCAAGATCATTGTACCCCCCTGTCTCCAAGATGTACCTAGAAAGAGGCTGATGACAATTCAGGTTCTTAAAATAACCAGAATGGAGATTGAGCCTGGATATCAGGATCCTATGCTCCCCAACTCCCCTCTCCTCTGAGCCAATACTTCCATGCCAGGGTCCCAGCTTTTGAAGTGTGCAAAGAGGGAGGATATACACCAGCCCGGGACTCCCTCTCTCCTGAGGGCCTATCCCAGGGGAGCTGGAGTGGGCAGGAGGAAGGCCGTAGGGTGCCAGAGGAGGAAGCAGAACCCCTTCACAGGCAACAGAGTGGGGAAAGGAGGTGAGCAGAGAGAAGAGATGAAACTGACAGTGGAGGTGCAGCTAGCTTCCCGGAGGGAGTCCCCACTTTCTCACAGTGTTTCTATTCCAGCAGGGCCCTTGCTGGAAGGACTTAATTGAGGAACCCCAAAACAGTTTTCTTTTTACAACAGAGACTAGAGTTGGGAGCGCAGGTGAGGCAGTAGTGTCCTGGGCAGGGAGAGAAGTTGTAGATGCTGGAGGGCCCAGGGCTAAGGGTCAGGGGAGGACAAGAGCGAGCTGGGGGCTCCTTTTCTCTACCATAAGCTCTGCTTCCTTCCTTAATAAAGTCTTGGTTTCCCTTCTAGGTTACTGATGCCAGCCCTCCCTCATTGTCATCCATGGATCCTTCCTCGCCAACTCTCTGGCTCCTGCCTTTACTTCCCTTTGTTGCCTCCTGAAAACAGTTTTCTCTGCCCAATCCTTCCTGCACTTTCCAGTAACTTTATTTCTCAGCTCACCTTCTGCCTCTATCAAGCCCCTTTTTGCTCTGCCTCTTTGCTCCCCACCCCAAATGTCACCCCCACTCTTGTATCCTCCCTGCCCCTGCTGGCTCCCAGCATAGCACTCCAGATGTAGGCGCAGATCAAGAAGGGCGGGGGTGGTGGCTGTTGCTTTTCTGGGATATTCTTAGCCTGTCTGGGGGCTGGAGTTGGAATGAGCGTTTCCATCTCAACCAGGCAGGTGGCTGCAGGGAAACCGCTTGACTGGATCTTAATCTAGTCCCTTTCCCTGTGTCCTCCTCTGCCTCACTTCCACCCTGGGAGCACAGACCCAACGTGAGTCCTCC